ACAGGTTCACCAAAAGAATTGATCCGATTCAAATCCAGAATGAAGAACATGTAATTATATGCTGAAGAACTCAAAAACCCTAATCAATATGGATCGATCGTCCCTTAATTCTTATGTAACACTTGACAAATAATAAACATGTAGGGCGAGAAGAGCATAGATCTAATCTACATCTATAACGCAATTATGGAGCAGAACGATCGAATGAATCTGAGGCTGCATATGAGTCTCACAAGTTCCAAGAACTTTGAAAGGGAAAGTCATTATAATACAGAAACAGACTCAACAGAATCCACACAAGTTAACCCTATTCATCAGATCAATTCATATGTCCCTCAATTCCAATGAAGTAAATCCTAATCCTGGTATATATTGGATCTGAGTGTTCTTGATCGTTGCTTTTGGGCGTTAAAATTGCAACAACTTGCTGATCTGAGTACAATAAAATATCAGTCTCAGATGTGGAGGCTTGATCACAAATTACTAAAACACGAGTCATTTACAACTACGAGTTTCGAGAAGAATTGAATGGACATTCTGATTATTTCCACAAGAAATTTACAGGCAAGGCTTGCTTAATAATGCAAGAGACGAAGGGATCAGACGAGGTCCGTAGTTATGGACAACAAATATTACATGTTGCTGAACCTGACGATTATCTCCAATATAAATTGAGAATTGAGACAAAGCCTTTGTCTTCTTATTAACTATTGCCCCCCAATACTCCGTGCACAATCAAGGACACGATCGACCCGAATAATTTTGTGCCTCATCATCATGAGTTCCAACTAACCAGCCAAGTTAATCAGAATCATCAGGCATTTTGATTTCTGCCATAATCATCAACACTGATATTCCGCATCCAACTGGTCTATCCCTTGGTCTGCGGAAAAATAAAGAGGGAGATTTGGGTTATGGCAAATCATGAGAGAAACCCAATTCCGTGTTAGTGGTCATGGGAAGTGCAGATACAAGTCAGAAGCAATTACACATATATGTAAAAATTAACAATATGAATGACTGAAGCAGGCCTACACACACACACACACACACACATGAATCATCAACATTAATTTAGAGTTTGAGTAATTGTACTCTTCCAGTTTGGCTCTGATAGTCAATTGATACAAGAATATAATACTCCCAATTAATGAACGCCCTCTCGAATCTGCTTTCACCACACGAGTTAAGTATGCAGGCAAGTAACAAACAAACTAAGGCGGCCAAAACAATCGTAATGAACTGATAACTAATGTAACGAGGTTGTGAAATATGAATGAATGACGGATATATATATATATATATATATAGAGAGAGAGAGAGAGAGAGAGTATAAGATCTTCAAGTGTAAATGAAGAGAGGTTATAGGGCACCATGTCGCAGAGCGATGACCCTAGCAAATAGAAGTGCAAAGCACTGAGCACTGCAGTGTCATCGCTCCTGCGACATGACCCCCTCAACCACTTCTCTCTGTTAATTTCTTAGCCTTCTCTTTCATATAACCTTCAACTTATATTCTCATATTTATACCACTTCCATCACTCACAAAGGAATTCATTTCTGAATTTGATGATCTCATCTGTCCTCATCTTTCCATCTGTTACTTAATCTGCTGGAAGATTAATTGCATGAGTGCGATATATTGTTTTTAGACTCCATTCTTTCCACGGGTCCCACCCTTAGCTTACTTTTATTTCTTACGTGGGACTAGTTCATTGGAGTGACAGGAAAGACCATGGAAAATTGGGTCCTAATAATTGGGGCCAATTTCCTCAATGTCCTGCAGGACTTTTGAATTTTTGAGTGACGAACCGCCCAAAAGATTCCAATAAGTAATTTAATGCTTGACTATGAGCATTACCTTTATAGTAGCTATCTCCTTCAGCAGGAAACTTAACTGGTAATTTATCTACCCAAGCAACAAAACACAGAACAAGACTGGTTTCCGTTCCCCCCCCCCTAAAGGAACGGTTACGTAGTTCCAAATAATTTGATGATGTATAGATATGGTCGTCAGTTACAAATGCAATTAATATATATATATACATATAGTTGGAAATTATATTTAAATTCTTTCCTTTCTTCTCGCTTTAGAGTCACTTATTACTCGTCTGCAGCCTATGATTGTTAGTGTGCCTCCCCATATTAAACATGTCTATAATATGCGCAAGCAAATATAAGGGCACCTGATTATGATGGCAAGACAAATATTTTTTAAAAAAAATTACAAATAGATCATTTTTTAATAGTTATTAATTCTTTACGGTGAATATCAATAAAGCAATAAAATTACTAGATCTAATAAGAAGCTAAGTGTCGGATGACGACTAGCTTAAATTCGATCTCTCTTATTATTTTTCTCCTTTTTTTTTTCTCTTTTGGGTGGTGTCTGTGGGGCACTCTCAGCCATATTTGTTCATCATCATCTCCTCTATCTCTCTCACTCTGGGAAGGCCATGAAAGATAATCATGTTATTATGACAATAAAATCTTTCTAGATTCACATACATATGATGACCCTAATTGCTTTATTCTCATCATATCAGCCTGGCCTTTTTATATATTATATTACTTTCAACAAGAAAATATGCCGAGATGCATGATTGCGATACGATTATAGATGCAAGTGGTCTTGGCAAAGACTTGGTGATATGGAAAAAAAAAAAGTATTTAACAATAAATAACGTTTTTATTATTGTGTACGTGTAACTATTCTTAGGAAAACTTTACAGTTTGGCTTCATTACATATAGTATCTTTCTTTCTATGTATTGAAGTATGTGAACTTTATTTTTATCTAATCACCTTAAATTTAATTTTTTCCCAAAATGAAATGTAGTAATTTGAAGTGATGACAACCAAAGGTGAAGCACATTTCCTCTTTTTTTCCTTTTCAATTTTTTTTCCTTGGTTGCACATTCCCTTCTTGATTACAAGGCCGACTTGACCAAGAATGTAATGATATCTGTGAGCTGCGTGAGGTTTTTTTTTTTTTTTTAAAAAAATGTAAGGCATATGTGAAATAATAAGTTAAAGGAAAAAAGGATATTGCAAGTGTATCAAAGAAATCCAAGTTGAAAGATGTCTAATCTTTTCTCCCCGCACAGAAAAAAATTCAATCTTTATTTTCATCGAAGATGGTCTTAGTTTTACCTATAAAATGATTAAGCAATGTACCAAAAAAAAGATCAAAAAATAAAAAATTAATTACCTTAAAACGAAGGTAATATTTCTGAATCTATGTGCCAATATATTCATGAATCCCGTTATTATTAGCTAGTTCATCTCCACATATTCTAGTATATATAATCCAAGAAAATAAGGGATCGGAATCGGATTATTATTATTTGATGCCTGGGCTTGTGTAAAAAGCATTTTTCATCTCAAATTAAAGTACCTATTTGGAGTTCTTATAAATCATATATTCTTCAATGCGAGTACTATATGGTAAAACAGAAATATAATGCGTCAATATTTCATTCACAGTAAGATAAAAGTTTATTAACTTTGATGAACTTTAATTAAACTGCCAATACAGATTTTGTACCATGAAGATATCCAAATCTGTTTAGACGCGGAAGAAGAGTGAAATTGGGAGTTGAGCTTTATCATATTTCGCAAGTAGCAATGAAAGTGACGCTAGAAAATAACAGTTTATATTTCGCAAGTAAATTGATTTTGCAGCTAATTTGAAGGTTTATAGATGGCAAATGTGGATATGATGGAGCCTGAGAGCAAGGTTTAAACGATTTCTGGGATATTGTGGGATCTACCAAAGGGAACCAAAAAAAAAAAAGAAAAAAGGAGTCAGTCCCTGCTTCAAAGCGTGATTTCCAGAACTACCATGGCCTGGATGGGAATTTTTGTGTTAAACAAGTCCAGAAGCTCCGTGAGTAACAGGGGTTATCTGAAAGCTTTTGTGCGGCCAGCTTATCAAGATGAACACATTAGTAGCCTCTTGGGGGTGGAAAGACGCCTGGAGGGTTCGGTTTACTGCTCTTTTGATCGCTCTGAAAGAGCAAAAGATATCTGTAAATGGAGAAGAAGTTTTTGATGGGATTATTGCACACACACACACACACACATTTCACAGTTGCTTAATAATGCATGGTGATTATATATGTGGAGTGGAAATTACGTATAATCAGTTGTTGCTGGAGCAATAGTTTCAGAGAGGCCGAGATTATACGAAAAGCGACCTTTTTCGCAGGAAATTAAGATTAGCTGCAATTCCAGCAGGATATATAGGAGCATGCTCGCTCGCATGCAGTTTTTATCAGTTACACGAAAATGATACGTACAGTAAGTAACAAAGACATAAACAAAAGAAACATCAATGGCAGCAACCGTGAAATTAATAATAATAGAAAATCTTACGGTGATGCTTGTCGGAATGATTAGTTAGAAGAAAACCTTGAGAGAGAGAGAGAGAGAGAGAGCAGGGGTTATTGTCACAGGAGAGCGGCACTGTTTAGTTTAAAAACCATGCAGTGCCGTCTCTCCTGCGACAACATCCCCTCAGTCCCTGTTTCATCCTTTTTTCTTCTTCTTCTTCTTCTTCTGTGGTGTCTTTGCCTTCCCCTATCCCCTTTATATACGCTCCATGTTCATCTTTCGGCAGTGTGAACGCCAAAGGGTTGTTTCGGCCGACAAACAAATTAGTGAGATTATAATCAATTCACACCGATGAGTGGTTTTTAATTTGAGTAAATCAGAGGCCGGGGAGACGACGTTAGTCAGTCAGGAGTCAGTCAATGAAGATTGAAAAGTCAGGAAAGACAGAATCATGTTCTGCGAGGAGGGCCCTTTGAAGGGTATTCTTTCTTAATTATAAGCTTCCACGTTGTAAGACATACACATTCCAGAAGTAGTCGTCCCTTTCTCAGTTTTGGGTGAGGAGTGGCATTTGAAAAGTAGTATTTGTGGTAAATCTAAATATCTACGTGAGATCGATAACGAGGCACATGGCGAGTGATAATTTGATATGACGTGCTACTTGTTTTTAAATGGGTGTTTGAATATTCAAGGGAGAGCGACGAGGCGGGATGTTGAGGAAATTGACTGAAATAAAGGACTGAGACCACTGCGAGTTGCAATCATCTTCATCTTATACATACATGCATACATACATATATGCAATGCATCAATCTGCTGCAGCCACACTTGACGGTCTCAATATTATTCATTGGTTTCAGTTTTTTGAATTATTCTTCTCTTGACACTACAGCTCTTAATTATTTTCAATTATCAACAACACCAACAAAGGTTAAGAGGAATACATTCACATATATCCTCACAAGTTTGCAAGTTTTTCTCCGCATAGGAAAATTTATTCCCTCCATGATAATATTTCAAATAAACATAAAATAGATATTTTACTAACATCACCCTGATCTTTTAGTGAATTATGACTAGACCCCAAGTTTTTTGGGTTTGGACCTAATCCATCAAAGGCGGATTGATTTTTTATTCCAACAATATTGATATAGGGTCGCAAAGAGGATACCTCTTTATGGCCCCTAGCTAGTAAATATTACCTCTGATTCTTAATATAAGACTCTATTTGATTTTTATTTTGGTTTTAAATATAAGACTCCAATCTAATTTGTCTATCATATTTACTCAATTTTTTTTAAGATAATCCTTCTAATAATTATAGTTCTAGTTAATACACTTGATTAGTAAGGATATTTTAGAAAAGACAACACCTATTTAGGACAAATAACTAATTCAGCTTACTTCCTTAATCTCCTCAAATTAGTCAACTGGCTCTTATAATTAGGGCAAGAGATAGTAATAATATCAATATATAATAAAATAGAATGCCTCTCATCTCTGAAAGGGGTTTTGTTGCTTTTACTTTTCTGTTTTCTTTTGTTAGACCGAGTTAGATAATTTGAAGAAGCGAAGAAGGGGCAAATTGTAATTGCAATATATGCATGTGAAATAGAACGCTGATTGCACAAATATTGTTGGAGGTTCCATCATCGTGAGCTGACTGCGATGTGCATGGAAATGGGCGGGTCCATTTCTTTGATGCTCCTTTGTTTTAGCTGGACTTTTCTCTTTTGCATACTTTTCTTCGTAAAGTAGTTTTGTTTCCCGCCGCGTCTTCGCACCTGGGTGACGTCTTGTTACAATTCGTTACGTCACAGGAACTTGATAAACTGAAGATTTAAAAATAAATCGATAAATAAATAAAACAAGAGCTTTTTAGCCCCTTGCCTGCTTCTTGGATGGAAGTACTCATATTTAGATCATTCAGATAAGATTTAGATGGTCCAAATTTAATTTTTTTTAATATTTGTTAAAATAATTATTTGAATGGATATAGAATCTAAAATAAAAATTATCTCTTAACTATCAATTTTTCAAAAAATAATTTTGCTATACAAAAATAATTAATTAAAGAGATTAAATCTAGAAAATTCAGATCAGATCTGAATGGTTGAAAAAAAGCTTTGGGCCAAACTGGTTCCTTCTCGGATACTAATCCTAGATTATTAGAACAAAATTGTTGGGCCAAAAGATGAGAGGCCCATATAGATATGTGGACTGTGGCCCAATAATACCCAACGTTACTCCGTACTAGAGGCCACATCAAAAGCCCAAGATTAACTCCGGAACTCAACATGGGGTAGAGGCCTATTCGAGAGTGCTAGCCTGTTTTGGCTAATTATTTAGATGCTTCTGCCCCCACCTTTTTTCCCTAGCGGGAACAAAATCTAGATAAAATATTTTACATATTTAACATGAGCTTTTCAAATAAAATATAATACCTAGATTTTTTTTTTTTAAAAAATTAATCATACAATAAAGAATATTAATGTAAAAGCCAGGTTGACAAAGGAAAAAAAGAATGCAAAATCCAGACAACAAATGTACATCCATGAGCCACGTAAAACTCACAAATCATGAATTGCAAGTGTGGTGTTATTTCATTCTGTGCAATTTGTGAATCATGACCTAAGTGCATTCTTGCGTGAAGAATGAAATTATCATATGCTTTCCTGTAAGAGTTAGTTAAATGTTGGGCCTTAGCTCATTTAGTTGCAAACCCATTTGCTTCTGTATATATATGGATCATTCTTTGATCCTGTGTTGGTATGGATTATTCTTCAAATTCATTATAATAAATGATATTTGTCTTACTCAAGCCTTTATAGGCTATCATGGTATTAGAGCCATTAGACACGAAGACGCCAATCACCAATCTTTAACATGGGCCTCTAATCAAGAAAGCCCAAGATTCTCCTCTGCAGTCCAGGAGTATAGCAACTGCAGAACCCTACTAGACGCAGGAAGTTTATATCTGCGATCTAGCTATCTCTATAAATTAAAAGACAAGTGTTTGTATCTGTTGAGCACCGGGCCATGTTTACTTACTATAGAAAAAGCCCGGTAACTAGTCAGGGTAGTGTTGTACACGTGAGATGGGCAAATATGGTAATGTCTAGGTGACAGTTAGAGGAAATGAGTATTTGAGAAGAAAACGTATACTGGGGGAGGTAGGTAATGAGTAGAGTTTGTTGAGGAGAGTGGAGTGCCTCTCAAATGCACTGTGACTGATTTTGTATTTTCCTCCATTAGAGCATACTTTGTAGAGCCTTATCTACTTGAATAATACAGTTAAGAGTACCATTTTCACCATAAGGTATCAGATCCGTATGTTTCTGGATGGTCAACACAAAGATGGAGGCTAAATTTGGCGAGTATGATTCTCAGATGCTTCGTGCTGAGCAAAGCATCGAGAGTTTGAGTAGTGATGTGGCAACTTTGAAACCTCTTACATCTAATGTGCCTGCTGAGTTGCACTTCGGTAAACGTTAAGGGATGGTGACGCAGCTCGAATCCACAGGTGGAGGCGATTGACGAGCCCATTAGCGATGGTGACACCATGTTGTCAAACTATTGCAAGCTTGATATGCTGTTATTTTCTGGAGAAGAAACTGAGCGATACTTCAAGCTCGATAAAATTGTTGATAACGACAAGCTCAACATAGCTGTTTTGTGCTTTGAAGGGCATGCGTTGAACTAGTTTTAATGAAAAGAGCTTAGGCTAGATCCTATTCTCTGATTCCACCTGTCGCAATATGACAAGGTATATGAGATGCCTATGGCTTTACGACAGACTCGCGACGTCACTGAGTATATTAAACATGCACCTAGACAGTGGAACAATAAACTTTCCATGGCCCTAAAATAAGGTGGCTACACTCAATGTAAGCATGATTATTCTCTCTTCTTTAGAACTTTCAGTGATGGTATTGTCTTGAGTCTTATTTATGTTGATGATGTACTAATCACATGAAGTTCTAAGGTAAGAATAACAAAGGTAAAAGAGTTTCTTCATCATAATTTCAAAATCAAAGACCTAGGTTTGATGAAGTACTTTCTTAGTATAAAGGTAGCTAGATCTTCTAAAGGGGTAGTTTTATCTCAAAGAAAGTATGTGCCAGATTTACTGTCTAATTTTGGGATGAGTGGGTGTAAACCCCTTAGTATGCTTTGTGAAATCAGCATTAGGGGTGTTCAATTTGTCTCGTCCCGGTCGTTCCGTCCCGGTCCCGGTGAGTTCGGGACGGGACGGGACGGAACAGTAACCGGGACGGGACGGGACGCGGGACAGGGTCGTCCCGTCCCGGGATTTTTTTTCTTTTAAAAATTATTTATTAATAATTATTATTAGATTATTCAATTTACTTATTAATAATAACTCTTATTTTTATGGTGATTTGTAGCTCTTAAGTTGTAGTATTATCTCAACAAAATCTCCTTCCTCAATAAAATAATTCATAAAGTCATTATATAGTGTTTTTTTTTTACGATATTTTTTTACAGTATTATTTTTACACCTTTTTTATGCTATATAATTAAACTTTCTACATAATATTTTTTTATAATGTTTTTATCTTTAAAAGCCCAATAAAAAATAAGTATTATAACATAAAAAAATTCATATAAAAAATTATGGTATCTTTTTTTTTTTAAAAAAAAAAGGGGAAGCGGGACGTCCCGGTCCCGTCCCGGTTCCGTCCCGTTCCGGGACGAGACGGGACACGGGACAAAATCCCTGTCCCGTCCCTGTTCACCAGGACGGGCCTGTCCCGGTCCCGTCCCATCCCATGAACACCCCTAATCAGCATACTCTGTGAAATTAGTAGCTTTTGAAGATGGTAAACATAAGAAATCAGAATTATTAAAGGACCTTGGAAGGTATAGGAGACTAGTTGGTAGATTAATCTATCTAACTGTTACTGGACCTAATGTTTGTTTCTCAGTGTAGGTAGTCAGTTAGTTATGAATCAGCCCATGAAAGCTCACATGGCAGCGACATTAAATGTAATAAGATACTTAAAGCAAAGCCCAGGCTTGGAGTGTTGATTAGCTCAAGTGGAGATCTACCCCTAGACTATTTTTGTGACTCAAATTATTGGGCTTCTTCTGGGACCACAAGGAGATTTGTAACTGGGTAATTGCTTATGCTTGGTGGCTCTCTTGTTATGTGGAAGACCAAGAAGCAACATAGAATTTTAAGGTCCTATGCAGAAGCTGAATATAGTCACTTGCTTCTATTGTTTCAGAGGTTATTTGGCTAGTGGGTTTACTCAAAGAGTTACACATTTAGCCATTCACATCCTATCAAGGTTCATTGTGATAGTAAAGCTACTATTCACATTGCCTCTAATCTAGTCTCTCATAAAAAGGACTAAGCATATCAAAATCGACTGTTACTTTATAAGAGAGAAGCTACAAGATACGCTAATTAGTTTGGAACATACTAGTTCTTCAAATCAAGAAGTTGATTTTCTGACTAAGGTTGTAGGTTGTGATGTACATAATAAGTTTCTTAGCTAGTTAGGTACATCAAATGTTTTCTACCCCTAGCTTTTTTTTTTTGGCTACGCATAGATATCCTTCTATTGAAAGTAATCATATTTGATACACTATCAGGCATTAAATGTGGATACTTCTTTCAGTGAGAATTTGAACATTGCATCGTCACGTTATAAAGAACTAATTTCTTCCACTAGACCTAATCTCTGTTAGTTTCTACCCCAACTTGAGAGGAAATATAAGAGTTAGTTAACTATTAGGCTTCAGCCCATTTAGGGGTAAGCTCATTTACTTGTGTATATATATGGATCACTCTTTAATTCTGTGTTTGTATGCATTATTCTTCAGATTTATTATAACAAATAATATTTATTTTACTCAAGCCGGCTGTCACTTCCATCGACTATTCTCCCGCATTCAATCAATTTTCCCGTCTTTTACATCATATCCAATGCGGAGATTCTGAGTTGAAAGGGCCATCATCGTCTAACAACTCTCTCATTATTGTACTAAAAATTAATAACACAACATTGTCGCAAGTTGCATAAGTGTCGAATTAAGGCTCTACATGACAAAATTATATCCATATTTAATGGATCACTGTCCCTGTCGAATCCATTTCTTTTGCTTTTCCTTTACACCAGCCTTCCCAGAAATTTCCTGTTGACTGACTCATGAATGGTGCTGTGTCTGATCAGCTTCCTGTTTGCCCAAAGCTTCAATCTTTCTCGCCTCCTCCTCTCTTGTCGTTTCGAGAGCTTCAATCAGGCTCTTCAATTGAATTTCAGAATTCCCAGAAGCAGACTTGGGCATCAGGTGTTCTGCTACATCGGCCGGCGTGATTTTAACGTCCCTAAGCAATTCACCGATTCTGGGAAACAAATGGTGGGACTTGATTTTGAGATAATTATCAGCAAGAACCTTAAACGCCTCGAAGCTACAATAGGACAACTCTATGTGCTTATCCATTCTTCCTTTTCGAATCAACGCAGGATCGAGTTTCTCTATATGATTTGTGGTGAACACTACGAGTCTTTCTCCACCACAAGCAGACCATAACCCATCAATGAAGTTCAAAAGCCCAGAAAGAGTGACCTGACTACCTCTGCCCTCTCTTTCGCCCGCCGCTGGTCTTTGCCTTTGATCTGTATTCTCTTCTTCGTCCTCCCTTTTCACCTTCCTCCTCCTCTGCCCAGTCAAATCAAGCGAACAATCTATATCCTCAATCACAATTATAGACTTGCTTGACGTTTCAATAAGTAGCTTCCTCAATTCAGTGTTATCCCTCACGGCAGTCAACTCTAAATCATAGATATCATAGCTTAAGAGATTCGCCATGGCAGCGATCATTGTGGATTTCCCGGTCCCCGGAGGACCATACAGCAAATACCCTCTTTTCCAGGCCCTCCCAATTCTCGCAAAGAATTCCTCAGCCTTACTGAAAGTGATAAGATCATCAATAATTTCCTCCTTCTTCTCCGGCTCCATGGCTAAAGTCTGAAACGTCGCTGGGTGCTCCAAAGCGACATGGCTCCAATATGACCCGTTATTCGTGTAAAGCTTCCTCTGCCTATTTTTCACCTTAATAGCCTTCCCCTCTTTCATCACATAATTCAAATATGTCCCTAGTATCAAATCTCTATGTCGTTTGTGAAAAGTGAGCTTGTAGTACCTTTTCTCGTCGGTCAAGGGGTTAAACGAACGAGACTCCGATTTGGAGTTGTTCTTGCCAGAAGCCCACCACAGCTTAGCTCCTCTGAATTCCTCAGCAACTTCTTCGTGGTCGTCCATGCTCAGCACGAGAGACTGATTGTTCTTGCCGATGTCGGCTTTGAGACGCTTGGCTTGCGTGGAGGCCCGTGGGCTGAGGTAGTTCTCTATCGCGGAGTAGGCTTCGCTGCGCGTGAAGCGCTCTCCGGTGAACTCGTGGAATGTGATTTGGACGTAGGGGTACACCAAAGTGACGAGCCTCTGAGAGTATTTCTCGATTTGGTTGCGAAGTGGGTAGGGGAAATACTGTTGGAACATAGCCCAAACGAACATTAAGGAAGCAATTATGGATCCTGCCGAAGTAAACATTTCTCCAGACTGCATCTTTCACCTCTGTATGACTGTATCTTTCAGAGATGGGGGCTTCGCATATATAGATGAGAGATACGTGACGAGGGGGTCATTAGTTTTATCCTTATGTCCGAAAATAAAATGAAAATATTAAAAAGCTGACTGGGAAGTTTTTGTCTTCATTCCCATAGGTCGGCGAGATGATGAGCCAGCCAAACGCGTGTGGCTCGTGTGGGAATTGTGATATACCTAATTATCAAGACGACGACGGTTCATTGACTTCAGCTTCCTTAACCACTGAGCTAAAGGAAGGGGCAAACTAAACCACGTAGAAACATGTTTGGCCCTTTCCTTGGCAATTCGTAGTTGGCTGCTCAATCGAAAGGTTGTCTAGGACAACGACATGCAAGTTACTAGGAGACAAGATGGTAAGTTCATTAAAGGCTTAGGAAATTTAATAGGAGTGGATCTCTCTTTGCGATAGCTTGTATTTAGCTGAAAGTGCTTCAGACTGGAAAGGGAATAGAAGATGTGAAATAATCATGCGTGCTTGCGTAGGATATGCTGGAAAGGAACGCTTTTTCTGGCATGCATGACTCATACATTTCTAGCCTATATTTAGGGGAAAGGGGATGAAGTCATCACTTCATTTTTCTATAGATAAAAAAAGAACAGTAAATTATTGGCTGAATATGTAGATAAATGGGAGTTCAAGTTTCTGTTCAATCTTGGAAGGCCCTTGTGTTTGTTGTCGTTTTATAACCAGTGACATAATTATTACCTTTATCATTCACCTTAATTCTCACCACTCGACCTCTTCAATGGGATTGCTGTTGATTGTTCGGTCGTGTGTTAGAATCAACTTGCTCATAAAACCGTTCAAGAGATTAAAGCCTAATCAGCAAAGCAAGCATCAGGGTCACATTTTCAGAGCAGCATTTCAGGGAATCACGCATGCCCATTCCAACAAAGGCAGAATCTTATTAACGACAGTGTGATCAACACTGTCCAATCACTGTAGAACAAACAATCAACTTCCTGCCCTTTGCAATTAAAAATTGAAAGGGAAAAACGGTCAGAGATATTTCCTTCAAGAAAATGTCCAAACCGGCAAAGGCAAGTTAACAGGGGATGATAGTGGAAGATAGACGGCAGCAACATTATGATATTCATCATCCGTCAATTCATAATCTTCGTCGGACAACCAATAGATGTGGCTAGGAATCTGCGAGGATTATATTTAAAATGTAGCGGACAGATATTTATTTGGTTAGCTCACATGCTGATGAAGGGCAGCTCCCAATTCCAACCCGTGCAATTGCGCCAACATCCTTTTCTTTTTTCTTTGTCTTGGCCAATGCTAATATATTGTTAATGTGCTATTTATCTTTTATGGTTTCTTGTAAATGGAGCCACAGGTTGCTACATCACTGTCACTAAATTTTCCATGATATCTTTTTTTTTTTCCACATCCAGATCTGATCCCTCCTAGCAAATTAGGTACACTGTTCTCTTTCTTTGTTTCTCATTCAAAAAAGAAAAAGGAAAAGGAAAAAAGATAGTTCCGCATGGTTTTACCAACAGATTAAATGAATGACTCATTATTTAACCATTGAAATTGGTTTAGACGATCCTGTTTGTGAAATCAGAAGCTCGTGAGTATAGAAAAACGTGTACTAGAGGATGATGTAATTGGTAAACGAGCTTCAAATCGAACGACACGCTAAAACAAGAAGTAGACCGTCGATATCGAATTTATGACGAAGAATTCCAAGGGAATCTGATCACTTGATGTCCGCTCTTGACGGCAACTAACCCAAAATTCATCATTGGATCTAAAAATAACAAAGACAAATAGGAAAAAGGAACTCTGAAACATATGGTTTCGGGAATCTTTCTCGCATTGCTGACACTAGTTTTCGAGTTCCAACATGTGAGCCCCCAGCGTGAATCCTGCAAAGGATTTTAAAGTTGTTCAATTATGAGCTGATCCGTGCTTGTTTTCGTTTTAAAAAATGTAAACAACTGAATAAATTTAGATAGCAAACTATTTCTCTCGTGGCAGTACTGTTAAAACGATCAAAATCCTGGCATTCGGAGGTTACTTTTGAAGTTGCCTAACATGGTGAAATATCCTGGAGATCAAGGTAGATTTCAATCGCTGAAACAGAATAATTGGCCGGCATTAAGTAACCAACAGCACATTAAACGCCTCAAATTGCACGACCGGGGGAGCAGGGATTATATAGTTTACATTTCCAGGCATGAGATCATTCCGTGAACTTGTGCAAATGCAAAACTAAACTCTTGTATGCCTTGAAGCCGAGGATTCGTCGTCTCATGATTTGATATCTATGATTGGTCTTCCATGTCTCACTTGAAGTCCAATCTAAAAGTTCGTGCATTCTTTCAATACCGACTACTTTCTCATGTGCACATTATCACAGCTCACACAAGGCACTGGCATCGGCACACCATCTCAAAGTGCCAAGTGATAAGGTTTCGAATAAATATAATCTAGGGTAATGTCAAAGATGATTTAACAGAGTCCTGTGAGTCATTCAACAAGTGGCCTGCCCACATAAATAAGAAACTATGACCTCTACTTCTACTAAGGAAACATTGATATCAAGGAACAGGGGCCGTAACGAGTGTTCCGTCTTCTGTCACCACATTAATTTTCCTGGGCATTAAGCACACCTGATTATAGTTAGATTAATTGAGAAGTCTGTATCATGGCAATGCTGTGCATTAGTTATTTCAGTTATTCTTTTAGCTCACCCATTCATTGCCCTTTTCGAGCAGGCACTAGCATATATGGTGTTACGAGGTGACAGACCAACCATTCTAACCATGTTAATTCTTTTAATCATCTGTGTAGGATCGAGGGGTTACTTAGTTTACACTTTGAATTAGCATGCGAATCCAACTCACAAAAACGATGTATTAGTTGACAAATCCAGCAGATTTTACTTTAAGACTTTGATAACATGAAATGGCTCGATACTTCAAAAATACAAGACTCTCCATGAGGAAAATGAAACTTCTGCTCAGTAAATTTAGAATTGTCATTCTCATTGATTTCGAAAATCTCTGAAGTCTGACATGTGAATTTGTTCTAAATTCATCACAGCAGAATAGAATTCTGAGATGGAACACTATCATCAATAATTGTTTTCATAAGAAAATTCAAACATTTCTAGTTAAACCGAAAGATGGATAAATCAAACTCAAGCTCAGTAAACTTAGAATGGTCATTCTCATTGATTTTGAAAATCTCCGAAGTCTGACATGTGAATTTATTCTAAATTCATCACTGCCAAAACAAAACAATTGGAACAACATGTCACAAATTTCATTTTCAAAAAAAAAAAAAAACAAAGAAGAATCACAAGTGCTTGTAACAACTTTTGTTAAGCCATCGAATAGGAATAAGTCGACCACTAAGATAGCCATTGCTCTCATTAGTCATAATATACTTTCCGCTCATTTCTGAATCGGAATAGCGTATATTGCCATTAAGGCAAGTAATCACAGAGCAACGGTTCCTCATTAACAACTTGGAAAAAAATAAAAATGAAACTGATGAAAGACCCAGGAAGGAACGTTCGCAAAGAGAGATCAGAAATGGTTATGTAATTGTCGGTCACGGTAATTCAGAAACACGGACCAATATAAAAATCATCATATCTCTTCGGCTGCAGTTTACCAAGAACTTTCAGCGAAAAAAATAAGTTTTTTTTTAAAGAAAAGAATAGACATAAACCAATCATCAGAGACTTAAATACAACGAATCATGGAATTTATCCATCATGTTGTTGCAGTTTTCTCATCATAGATAGGGATTCAACTTTTGTAGAGGCAGGAATAAAGAAACAAAACTCGAATAAACAATACAATCCAGAGACAATGAGACGCTCCCTTACTGTGGAAAGCCTTTCACAGGAATAGGCTAAGAGGGTTCCTAACCAGAGCGCGGAAGATGAAAATCGAAGAGACATACCATGAAGCCACGATATATAAGCACAAGCAGCTGCCGCTCGAGGAGGCGAAGGACCCAGAGCATGGAAACCCTAATTGAAACAGATACTGGCAAAACACGATCCTTTTGGGTCAAAACAGAAGCCCACGAACCCAATGACCCAGATTTTGGTTTTGCATTTTTTTTAAATATAAATTACGCAGACTAACTCTTATAAAAGTGGAGTAATTTAACCCCTCACTAACAGATTAGTAGACGGACGTTTCCTTCCTCAACAAACCAACTTTTCATTTTAACAAAATAATGACACGTAATTCATTAAAATGCCACCTGTTTTTTAATAGCACCATGGGAAATTCATCAGATCAAAATAATCAAAGTGGGCTCCTGGACAAAAGATGACTTGGCTGGGTACGAGAATGACTTGGAGGGGCATCATGTTTGTTCTCGGCGTCTTTCCGACTAGCGTCTCCTGCTTTGTCCTGGGTCTCTCCTTTCCCAGATCCGTCGCGCCAAACGGCATCATAGTTTCGTTGCCTCGGAGTCAGCAAATCCCGACAAGAGGAAGGAGTACTTATTGGCCCCCCTTTACACGGAGCTGAATGGAAGTTGCAATTGGGTTATCAATCTGGGCCGATGATTATACTTTCTAGCTCATAGCCCATTTTTCTTTTTCTCTTTTTGGTGCACCCATTTTACTTATTTGAGTTTTACATTCTCTGCCTCCCTATTCTTTTCCTCCCCGGTCTCTGCCACCCTACTTGAGACCAAGACTGAGTGATAATGGAATGCGGGAGATTTTGTTTTTTTTAAATATGAGAAAGGTCTTTTTTGCCTCACTGAATGAAAAATATTACTATTGTTAAATAATGATACAATTTTAGAGTGATATACAGTAAGGACCCCACAAACATGATTAACTGTAATCTGCCAACTCTGACGAACTAGTGGCATCATATTCAAAACAATTAATTCACGTCCCCTAATTACTTAAATTAGTTGACATCTTAATTATCAACGTCATGTGAACTTATTTCCAGTTGAAAACTATACTTTTTCGGTCCTTAATATAAAATCTAATTATTAAGTTAATTATAATTCTAAATATAAGATCTATTTCTTATATTTATCAATTTTTTCTAAGTTACTTCTATAGATGCTTTCTCAACCATAATCAAGTAAGTGAAGGAAGAAGGATATTAAGAAAGATGATTATAGTGTTTTAAGAAAAATATGTCATATTTCTTATAATTAACTAACTTATCTAACTTTTTTAACCTAATCAAATTAGTTAAGTAGGTTTTATATTAAAACTTAGAAGAGTACTAAATTCCATAGACCAAAGCATACAAATGAAATGAATTCGACGACTCAACAAGCGAAAAAGTCAAATAATACTGAGCAGTTTCTTTATATGTATGTAATGGACAAGAACCTCTCGGCTTAAATTCAACAGGGCAAGGGCTCTCACTACTTTTCTTTTCCTCCAACCAGATTGCAATTTAAGCAGTCCGGATTTCATATTATATAAATAATTTTATAAAATATTTTTGTTATTTTTTTAATTATCATGACTAAAATTTAATAATTTAATTTTGTTTATTTATTTTTTAAAAAATATTCATCCAGTCTTAAATATAAGACCCCTTTCATAATGTAAATTATATTACAAAAGGATCTTATATTTAAAACTGGAGGAGTAATATTTTATTCATAATTTTATAAAATATGAAATATGCATGGTTCAAATCGCAATCATGAAAAGTGAAAGAAAATAGATGGGGAAGGAAGTGAAGAGACTTTTTTTCCAAGTTATTAGGGCTACGGAAATCAGCCAGCCCCCAGCTGCCTCTTAATTTTGGGGCTCCTTCCAAACTTTTTTTTGCAGCTGTGTTTATCATTAGATTTTACATATAATGAGTTACAGTTTGATATTTTACTTCAAAAAAATGGTTTAGTTTTTTTTACTATTTTTTAAAGATTTAATACTCTAAGTTAAAAAGAAATCAAACCATTTAAAGTGTTAAATATTTAAAAATAATAATAATAAATAAAAAATTAAACTATTTTTTGTAAGTAAAATATTAAAATATAATACTAAAAAGAACAATTAAAAATATTTTCAAAAAACTCCAAAATTAAGGAGCAACTGGGCAGAGAAGGGGCAGCTCACACCCCAGCCCAAGATATTCTAGCAAAAAAAAAAAACTGATATAAGTTATTATGAGTGGGTGTGAACCGTGAAAGGAGAGATTCACGGCTTCACGCCTTGTAGTTACAAATAATACATGAGAAGCATATTTCATATTCATCATAGTGATCAGCACAGAATGCTTATCTTAATTTGAATCATTAGGTTGTTTTTGGATGGTAGATTAAATTTAAATTTTTTATAATCAATCTTTTATTTTAAAAGATGCATAATTCAAAACAAAGATAATGTTATAGCTAACACTTATTTAAAAAATAAATTTATTATTAAAAAATTGTATACTAGAAATTTTAAATCTCAACCATCCATATTAAATTTTAAATACCCTAGATTCACCTGCTTATTACTACCATGAACACTCAATGACGAGGTTGATACATGCCAATAGAAGTCAATAAACCATTAGAAGAAGCTAATTTCTACATGGAAATCATGTCGTAAGAGTGCTCCTGGGAACCCCACCCTGAAGGACAAAACGTGACGATAAACTCAGAGGACGAACAGCTGACCAATGGAGGAGGATTGTCGAAGGCATAGCTATAATAACACGGACATGCTTCTTTGAATATCTGGGAGTACACACTGGGCTTGCACCTCTCTGCACTTCCAAATTGGTTTCTACAGCAGAACATGTCGTTATCAAAAGCCAAACAAGCGCTTTTGCACGCCACAACCTCTCCTTCACGATTCAACACCTCAAGCTCCGCCGGGCACAGCCTCTTGAGATCCTTCGAGCAACCTTGGATGATGCATTTAGGGTTTATTACTCTGGAAGTGATCGAGACGGGGATGTTATAGCCGTCGACCAGGCTCACGTCGTAGAAGTTGGGCCTGCCTCTGTCACCTTGAAGCGACACTTGGACTAGTGTTGCCGGTGGAGTGCCTATGAGGCCGTTGCAGGCCAGCCTTCCGTCACAGTCTCCGGTTTCGCAGGCTGGTCTCCAGTTCCCGGCGGCGAAGTTACACCCGGTTCGGGCCCAGATACGGCCGCTCCATGACCATGGAGCCACGACTCGGCGGGTCTGGCCCGGAGGAAGGTAAAATCCACCGTCAGCTATGACTGGCTGGCCATTATTTGGCGCAGTCGCTGGCCATATTGGAAATGGGCATTTGTTGTGTATGTAGAAGGTGACTTCGTGTGCCCCTGCAGTATCACCTGTATATATATGCGTACACACAATGCATAGAAGCGGTAAATATTAGGAAATATTACAAGTATATCCTCTATGGTTGTATATTTTAAAATTCGACGGTGAACTAATTTCTAAGTGCTTTAAATGATGATCAAGAGTTTGGAATTCGAATACCATGCCAAGAGGAAAGCCAGGTTAGGAGGAAGAAAGTAGCAAGAGAGTGAAGCAACGGCATTGTGTCTTGATTCTGATGAACGCAATTTTCTGCGCTAATGACCATTTAGGGTGGGTGCGTGCGTGTGTCTATATATAGTACAGGCAATTAAGAGCTGAACTGATGAGTTCTTGTTTAATTGTACTTTAAGGCTTGGTGAGGATATTCTTTAGAGAAAAGGAAGAAGGAGAAGGAAATAATTAATTATGGGAACTTTGGCCTTCAAGTATGGTCATTGCTTGAGTTGGTAGATACTAGATAGCAAACCCCGGGTAAGGTAAGAGCAATACAGGAGATGACACGTGCACACCAGATCGGGGTAGTGTGAGGGTTTTGCTTTATTGCGAAGGCGGACGAGTTTGCTCTGCTGTATGCTCAAAGGTGAATCGTCTAATCCATGACATCAATCATCCCGTGGCATATATGTGTGATCAGGCAAAACTGTGACATCGGGAGGATTTTTAGGCTTTTCTTTTCCCCCAGTTGTGCATTCATGAACTTTGCAGAATACAGAACGTCTATACTGCATTATCTCCGGCTAATATATAATATAAAATAAAAAAACTCAAATTAACTTACTTATATTCATTATATAATATAAAATCTTGCAATAATAAATTCAAGAAGTCAAGGGATTAATATTTACTACTACCTTCAAGTCTTAATATAAGAGCTTGCTGACTAATTTGAGTAGATTAAGAAAATTCATTAAGTTAATTATTTGTAATAAACATATGTTATCTTTCTTAGAATATCCTTAATTATGAATATTAGCTACAACTACTATTTGATGAAAACTTTAATATGTATAACTACTACAGATATTATTTTGAAGAAAAATAGATAAATATGAGAGACAGAGTAAATTAGGATATTTTCTTTTAAGATCAAATTGAATGTCAAACTAATTTTTATATTAAGAATCTGATATTAATTTGCATAACAACTAATAAATAGATTGTATGTTTGATATTGTTTTGATATTTAATATTGTTTAAATGATTAAGTCTGAGATATTATAACTTGACGACCTGCAAGAGTTATCTGTAAGTATTTATATATACTAGTCCAGGCCTTTTCCCCTCCTGTTTTTTTTAGAAGGAGAAAATCTGGTGGAGTTAGCTTGTAGAATTCACCAAAGTTAAGGCGAGCATCACTGTTCAAGGGGCCGGGGAAAAAACAGAGAGAAAATATAGAAGCATGCGTATAGAGTACTTATCCTAGATGTGTTCACATAAGATGATTTGAACCGGTGTTCTTTTAAAATATGAGCAGCGCTCATTTTAAGCTGAGCAACCTTTAACTTTGTTGGTTAGTTAATTAGGCTTTGCTTTGATACAAGCCAGGGATGCTTGATTTGGTTTTTAATTGCTATCCTGAAGAAGAAAGCATCAATATTATTCTTTTGGCGCCTCTTGGGTGAAATGTAGATGAGATTTATTTGGATACGTGTCTCTTGTGGGACTTCAAATTCAACCTCAAGATATTCAGAAATGGCTTCAGACTTCAGAGACATGGTTTTCTCAGCCTCGAGACGCGAAAATCAAGCCAGTGATTCGAGGCTCTAGCTAGCAATCGCATGTTGCTTACTCCATACGTGATTTACTTGCTATATCATTGCCACTCCGACGAGGCTGAGAAATGTCAACGAGGATTTTTTTTTTTCTTTTCTTTTTTAAGAAGCAGCTCGACATTACGTGTTTTTTGTATTAAATGGATAAATTATTTTAAACCCATTTTTTATTAAAAGAATATTTTCGGGCTTTTTTAAACATCTCGTTGCTTTTTGCTCGTTCAGGAGAGCAGTCCTGCTCCCTCGTTTCAAATTCAAAAAAGGGGATTTTGTTTTGGCATATTCTAAGTAGGGTTAGTTCCTCCTAAGTGTGTTTCTTCTTGTTAGCAGATTATTAGATCCACCTCTCTTGGCCCAACACAATAAAACCCGCATGCATAACGGCACGTGATATCAAGACTAGTTCAAATTAAAATCTTAGGATATCATATTATATGTATATATCAGATTGTAATCATGCGACAACAGTTTCGCGAGATTATCTCAATGTACATATTATATATACTGTCAACAAATAGATCACTGCGAATTCATCACAGTTTTATTTCTTTACTTTCATTTTCTCTTTCTCTTCTTGCTCAGCCTTACATTAGAGAGATTATGGGTCAAGCAAGGTATTGTGCACATAGTCACATACCGTCTCTTTTGGATACCATATCTAATATTCCCAACAAAAAAAAACCTTTAAAAAGTATATTTTTGAAAGTTTATTTAGGTAAATAAAATATTATTTTAAGTCAATGACAAGTTGCCAAAATGATGGCACTACCCACAATACTTGGATAAGATCTCAAACTCTAGTCTAATGCTGAAATGTTTGGATGTATAAAATGAAATATATATATATATATATATATATTATTTTGAAAGCTCACCCCTAAAGCTTGAAAAAAAGTATATAATCAATTTGTGAAATGATGAGAGTTATTTTTACCGTGTCCTAAATTAATTTGACAAATATACTTTTGATGTTTTAAAATATAATATCTATTTAATTAATTTGAGTTGATTAAAAAAATTTAATTAATCAAATTAGTTATTTATGAAAAAATGTTTTGATTTTTCAAAACATTTTTTAAATCATTTACATTAAATCAATCTCTTGATGCAAACTTACTAAATACTTGCAATCAAATGGTTCAAAAAGCAAAACAAAGTAAAATATTATATTTAGAATTGAATTTAATTCTCTAACTCTTGGGCATTTACTTTAATATTTTTTTAAAAAAAGTACCATCTAGGATGCTGCGTGTGAAGCTTTTTCGTTTGTTTTGTTTTTTTTCCCCCTAGTTATCGAAATGCTAGCATATCGGTTTGCATGTGTTGGCGATAGTTTTTTTTTTAATTTCGCAATAAGTAGGTTGAAGCTTATCAATAGAAAACTCGGAGCGCAGTAACTGCAGAGATTCATTCATGACTTTCTCCATTGTTTTTTTCTTGATTTATGACAAGGTTCGTTGTGGCGGGCCCAGATTTACTAACCCCCTGCTCTATCATTTGTGGTTCTCGGGAATATCCACTGGAATCCAAATTCACCACCCATTCCATATTACTTTTGCATTTGTTTTCCCTCACACTCCTCTCTCCCTGTGAGTTGTGACTCGCAAAAAAAAAAAAAAAAGCTGTGCTTTGGAGTTTGGAGCGAGTCCCCTGCGCTGCATCATCGCAACCAAACCGGGATGATCATGATCTTATCCTCAGAAGATGGACGGTCAAGATTCTGAGTTAGTAATGTACAAACCCCATAGTCATGTGTGTCGCTGGAACTCCAAATTCCGCTTACACGCCGAAGCAACAGTCTTGAATGGTTGAATGACTGAATGAGAGTGTATTTTTTTAATCTGAAGGGCCCTTGTTTTGTCGTCCTCGTAATTAGGGCCACTCTCTCTCTCTCTCTCTCTCTCTCTCTTCCTCTGTAATTTTTGTCCCCGAGCTGTAACACTTTCTGGAACTGTGCAAGAGAGAGCCTGGTCTCAAAACCCAACCCAGTCATCGGGTGTATCAGCAAATTCAATATCATCTCATCTCATCTCCCTCACATTTCAAATTTGAACTCTCTGTTTTTTCACATTTTTTAAGTTATTATTTTTTACCCTTCCTTTTGGGTCCCCATGTTCAGCTCCCTTCGCGCCCGCGTCCCTCTCGCTCTCTCTTTGACCGCCTCGGTCACACACCCCCACCAACTTGACCGAACCCACTTTTAACCGAACCTTCCTCTCTCACACTTCCTCCATTGAACCAACCCTTGGCTGATCCATGGACAAGCCACCACCCGAGAATGCTGACCACAATGATGCTGAATCTCCCATTGCTAGTGGCTGCCGGGACCCCAATGTTAGTGGCAGTGCTAGTATTAGTATGTGTAGTAGTAGCAGCAACGTTGAGACTCAGAGGAGCACTGGATCTATGACGGATTGTGAAGCCAGTGAGGGAAGTTTTAGGAGCTTTAGCCCTTCCAAGCCTCACAAGGGGAACGATATTAGGTGGGATGCGATACAATGTGTGAAGAGGAAAGATGGGGAATTGGGTTTGGGGCATTTCAGGCTGTTGAAGAAGCTAGGTTTTGGGGATATTGGGAGTGTGTATTTGGCTGAGCTCAGAGGGATGGGGTGTTTGTTCGCCATGAAGGTTATGGATAAGGGCATGTTGGCTGGAAGGAAGAAATTGGCAAGAGCTCAGACTGAGAGAGACATTTTGAGTTTACTGGACCATCCTTTTCTTCCCTCCCTTTATTCACATTTTGAGACTGAGAAGTTCTCTTGCTTGCTCATGGAGTTTTGCAGTGGAGGGGATCTTCATACCCTCCGCCAGCGGCAGCAAGGCAAGCATTTCACAGAGCAAGCTGCCAGGTTAGTTTATAATGGCACAATTACTTGACGCTGATATTACTAATTCTCTTTGCTTTGCTCCTTAATGATGTAAAGAGTCAATCAAGCTTCATGTCATTGAAGGGAAGAATGCGGAATCTTCTGCTTGGCAAGTCTTGATTAAAGATTGGAAGGGAAATTTGTTCCACAGTCCAAAGAAGTTTACCTTTTTGTTTTTGGCTGCATTTTTTAAGCTGCTATTTTCCTCAGCTATGATTTCAGCGAAGGGCATATAGTTTTATTTCCCTGTTCACCTGCATAATCGATAGCTGTTATTGGTCCGGCAGACTCTTGGGTAAAAGGAACTCAATCCTGTTGCCAATCATTACTAGTCATTATAATCACCACCTAATGTTGGTATTTTGCTGTCTGCATGGTTATGTAAATGGTTGTCTGGAAATTAAAGCCTCCATAATCATTCGGTTCTACTTACGCTGGAATGCTTTTAGGCTCAAAGTTTTTGAATCTGCTTTCTGATAGCTTCATTTTCTTTTTGCAGGTTTTACGCTTCTGAAGTGCTTCTTGCTCTGGAGTATCTACACATGATGGGTGTTGTGTACAGAGACTTGAAGCCAGAAAACGTACTGGTAAGAGAAGATGGGCATATCATGCTCTCTG